CTTCAGACCAGTGTTCATTGTCTCCTCCATCCAACTAGCATCTAACAAGTGGTCACGCTGCAAAATGGTCGATAGGATCAGGTCAGTACTCACGAGCAGACACCATGAAACTCATAACTTTCCAGTAACCAATCAATTTGAATGTCTTCATTCATATAACTAATGAAGCATTTCGAAATGAAATATTGCGATATGATAAAAGTAGTCAGAACTGAGTAGTCCACATTGTCAGCAATATCGATGTACCTCTGACTCAATCCCTATGTTGTTATCTCTAATTTCAGTTGTTCTGATCATTTACTCACTGAGCTAGAGACTTGAATTGGTTCTGAACGACAACCCGTTAGCTACATCTGTACTAGTTTGAAAGTTAGTTTCAGTTAAAAAGATAATATGACAAATTCTTTAACAAACTTTCATATCATAAAACAAAAGATGTTTAGCGAAGAGTCACTCATTTCAGTGATATTATTCTCAAACTGTACAACTGAACGTAAATATTCTATTTACATGGTAACAGAAAAGGTATGTTTCATTAAATATTTTGGACAAAGTTCGGATTTCATTATGAATCAATAGGCCGGAGATAATTAGGAATCACGTAATGTTTGAAATAGTATCGAGAAGAAGACTTATCAAGATCGAAACAATATTTGGTTACCAAGTTAAATGACGTATTACGGTGAATGTAATGAAAAATATAGGATTGGAAGAATGTAATATATGGGATCTGAATGAAAAGAATTTCGTAGGTAAAAATGTTCTTATAAGTTGTGTCTATTACAACTCAAGTGAATGGACAAATTTCTTTTGAACGCAAGGTTAGGCTTTTGTGAAATGCGTATGGAAAGCGAATGCTCAGTACGCTTAATACATCTTTCTCCACAGAAGTATGTGTATTGATGAACACATATTGGGGTGGCCAAGGGGCTAGCTTATCCTTTACGCATAATCAAAGCATTGGGTCAGTAAACTAAGTTAATCTGAGTTTGTTAGTATAGAAAGTCTTTCCCAATGAGCATATCAGACGGTTTCTTGGTATATCTGCTGATGCATCTCCGTTATACTGTGAACTAATGAAAAGAGGCCTCTTAGAAGCCCTAGAAGTCAAATGATTGTTTGCTTTCAGTTCCATAGTTTTAACAGTGTACGGCTCAGGATATCGGTTTTAAACCAAAACATGTTAAAACAATTGTGTTCATCTCCCAAAGTATCAAGACTTCAGATAGTGGAGCACATAGAGAGAATTGGATTTCGTTTGATGCACAGAGGCACCGAACTATGGAAATTCATAAGTCCGTTCCACTTGGGTTTTCTATGAATGGACCTTATGAGTGATACTCTGTCTCGTCTTTTTAGCTGACAGTTTAAAAAAGATATCTAAGGACTAAGTTTCTTCTATAATGTGAACCTAATTGAAGGGTGGCAGTTATTAAATGAGACAGAGTATCCTCTAGATCACTGTACTAATGGAGATCATGAAGGTATCATCTACTTATCACTTATAAAGTTCAAATCAAATGATCATTTTGCTTAACTGTGTGTTCACTAGCTTTGACATGAAACGCCTACGTCTCACAGATTGTGATTGTTACAGTAATCTTTGAAGTCACTCAGTCTGACTGATGTCCGACCGTTCAAACTAACTTCTGGGGTGAAGATCTAAGTGAATAATTATGACTGTGAGAAATAAGTGGAAGACCTGTACAACTGGAATAAACAAGATGATCTGGTCAAGATATTCAGACAATAATACAATTAAGTATCTTAGCAAAGTCACTGAATTGGTTATAGTTGTTATTGCCAGAATGGTTGTCTAAGACAAAAACGGTGGCAACTCACACATCTACAATACTCTGAAATAATCAACCTCTTAGGTCTTAGGCTTTGTAGACCACTCAGAAGGAACTCTTATAAATACATTCTATTTTGTAGGCTACCTTTACTCTCATATTCATCGTTTGGACAAGTAGAATTTTGTTTTGTTTATTACATAGTTCATATAGTGAAACCATGTTGCTCATTGGAAAACATACCAATATAATGTTTTAATCACCATGTCAAATCAGTCAGTCAACAGTAACATATGACTTGGCATTACTGCATTATGGTCAAAGTTTTAACAATTCACATAACCGCATCAACAAACAAGGAAATGAGACAAAATACACGGAAGTAAAAATAATATGGTGAGAAGCGAAAGAATGCCTCAGGATGAGAAAAAAATGGGGTAAAGCAAATAACAAAATGTGGTATGATGGTTCAGATGAACATAATTTGTGGATTTTTTGCACTCGTGCTATTAAGCTCTTCACAATTTCACCAATATTGTCCAATCCCTGATTTCTGTTATCCCACAGATGTCTAAATTGTTCTACACTACTGAGATCCGTAGTCACAGACTTTAAGAAGTGAGGCCAGTTTTTAGTACAGTCAACTTCATTCTTTTTCTAGCCCAAGCCTACTTTGGATAAGATTATTCGCAACATACACTACAACCAGCTTAGCAAATACGTTTCTACAATCTCATCATGTGACTCATTTCTTTTACATAAGATTCAATGGCTAAACTCCATATTATCAAATTTGTCGTTTCAAGAAACTGAGCCAGGTATCTGTGAAGCAACGATGGTCGAATACCTAGAACCCTTTTAGATCCTCCAAGTTTATTGGCTTATAGTAGAACACAGAGAACTTCTGAGGAGTACAGTTTACCCTTAGTGAACAATTAAACCTTTGAACACCATAACTTCAGTTAGTTAGGCGATGCCAGTATAGCCTCTTGTGTTCATGCCTAGATTTTGTTTACCAACGACTCACAAATGGTAGACGTGCCCAACCACTTTGCTCTCAATTTTCATATGAGATATTAATGCACAGCAGCCGGGAATCAACTAATTACACTGTCTGTCCTTCGTTTTATTTTGGAATCCAACATAGGTGATTCTTCTTGTTAATTTTCTATCTCAGAAAGACGTGGGATTACGAATGTTTAATCCTGCACCTTAGATACGGCGGCAATATATGAATGACGCAGTCACTGTGCTGAAACTGGAACGTATGGATAGCCTCCTCACAAGTGTAAACTCAGCAGTAGACGCAGTCCGATTCACTTACGACGTAGAAAATGAACAAGGAGAACTCCCTATGTTGAACTGAAGAAGAAAAAGAGGGACAGACGGTGGTTTGGACAGTATGGTTTCCAGGATACCGGCACATTCTAACGAGTATCTAGACTTCACGTCATCTTATCCAATGTCAGTTAAGGCAGGTTTAGTTAAATGTGTAAGTGGCAGAGCTAGTAAACTCTTCTGTCATCGTAGAATTAAAATAAGGAATTGAAACACATAAAGGAAGCGTTAATAATTAATGATTATCCTTCAAAGTTTATTGGGAAATTCATACGAAAATTTCAGAAAGAAAATAATAACTGTACTTCCAATACGAACGATAACAACACGAATAGAATGGAATTCAAGGTCTTTATTGTCCTACCATGGAAGGAAGAAACATCAGAAACTTTACGTGGAATTCTCAACAAGTCTGGAATTAGGGTGGTACTCAAACCTACAAACTCACCCAAATAATCTTTGTTGGCTTGAAGATCCGATAGAACCGAATACGCAAAATAATCTAATGAGTCAAATCCCATCTAATGACTGCAACGTGAAGTATACAGGTCGAGATTAGTTAGAATAGTGAAATATAGAAACCTAGCTAGATGCAGAATGACAGACCTTACTAAGATCAGTAATCTGGAAAAAGTTCGGCTTTTGCAATACATGCATTGACTACTCTACTTAAGGCCAATATAACTAGGTAGAGAGAGTGATTGATTACGGAATATTTGTTCATCGAAACAACACTCAATCCAACTCATTTAACAGGAATGACCTAACACCTATACCAGAGATGTTGAAAATTTTACTACCAATAAAACAAATAACATGAGGTGTGTGATTATATTGATATCATTATGAGTAGTGATAATTTATGCCGGAAAAATTTTACACTGTATATGAAATAAGGAAATCTAATTTGTGATTACATTCCACTATAGTACCTAACGTTTACACTTGTATTAAAAGTGCTATGTGGCAGTGCATCACGAAAGTAAATTTATGACACTCATAACCAGATTTTGCATCACACTCACCAAGGACAACTGTGGCTCATTTGAAAGAATTAAAGATCAACTCACATCCGTGACATACTAACTTCTAATGAAGTATAAAGTAATCAGTTTTATTAAGTGGGAATGAAAGGTAGATAACGTATGAGTAATTCAAGACGATGCAGTTATCCTGCCGCCGAAACAGCTACTGAATATCCTCACACATACCCCATGACTAAGCTTCATTTTACGGTGCTGCTGGTACCGGAAAGAACAAGTGATTATACTGAGGGTATGAAAACGGCCAGTGGTCAAATCTAGAACGCACATTCCATACTATTTTGGACTGGTCAGCTGGATAAACCTGCCTCCCAATGAGTGATGTTCTGCCCACAAAGATGTGTACGCAGATGAGGAAACACAGAAAGTCAAAGCAAAACAAATGTTTACCATTAAGTTATCTTCATATCTTATTTGAGAAGTTGTGACTGATCTGTTTAGGGAGTTGACTTTCAACCAAATGGGTCACTCCAGCTGTCGAGTTTGAGGCAACTAGATAGTATCACTAACCTTCACACACTGCATATGGCTCATTGCATGCCTCACGAATGTGCACAAGGTAGCTGAATGGTTTTCGATTCGTTCGTTTGTTCTAATGTGTTACTTCTTATATTCTTCAGGAAAATGAACGAAATCTAGTGAAAACACTCGGATCCTATGGGAAGTGTACATAACTTACAGAAAAACTTTCAGAGTGATGTTTATGCTTACTTTTCTAAAATTTTCCAATATACAGAGGATGTTAGGGTTGATGAATTATTTGTGATGCGATAAAAAGAACCAAATTGCAAATATTTTCTATGTAAGATAATCATGTTTTACTTACCGCTGAACAAAGGACATATCCGTTTCCAAACCGTTAAACATCCACTACGTTGAAATTGTCCTAATGCCAGTTCGAGATAAAACAATGGTAATCCACCAAAAATGTACATAACCAAATAAGGAATAAGAAATGCACCTGTAAAGCAAAAAAAACAAATTATGCGATAATCAATCATTTACGATTGGTAGGCATTATTAAAGCTCTACCCACTTCATAGATAATGGGACTGAATCCACTAGAGTACATTGGCAATCAGTTCACAGGTACATGCAAATAATCATGAACAAACTAGTAGACATTTTAGCCTCCATATTTGTCACTGAACGCTTTAGGTTGGAATCTTAGGAACAGCACGAATATACACAACTTCTTTAATTTGACTAAAGGCATAAGTTTCCTGATTAAAATTTTCAAAAAATGTTGGACTTTCACCACAAACATCTTTCTTTTCATAAAAAAATGTCTTTGAAGCCTACTGACTGATAATAATTTGTGCTGTAGGCAAAATCAGTTATTTTCTACATACGAAAGTACATCTTTTCAGGGGAGAACCCTTCAGAATTACTCGTAAATTATCATTTAGTTCGCTAGTGGTTTCACAGAAATACATTGCTAAAGCTTCTCATTGTGAACAAAATAAGTGCTAGATTGACTATTAATATATAACCTGATTCATAGAACTGGTAATATATGGCCGTTATAATGTAAACGTTGACAGTAATCCACTGCTACAGCATTCATTGTTTGTAGAGGCTGAAGCACAACAAATAACTAATTGATGATTTATTTAAATAGGATATTGAAATGCGGATTGTTTAAATTGGATTTTGACAAGTATTTGGTATCAATTGTAAATAAACTTAGTGGATATTCTCAACAAGATCAGTTGACATTACTCCTAATTACTTCTGAATAGGCATAATGAAAAGCTACATGTCAAAAGAAAACAAAACTTAGTGAGCTAATTATCAGTCACTAATAGTTAATATCTCTAGTATCATCCTATTTCTCTGGTGTTTTACTGAAGCCTGAAGACTCTGCCTATGTATAACAACAGAGAATTATATTTGACAACAGATAATAGTAACTAATACCCATTGTATAAGAGATGGGTCTCGTATCTTAGTGGTGTAGTGGGATAACAGTTTGGTATTTGAATGAATGGGTAAAGAGTTCAAATTCCGTGGAAACACTATCATGCACTGGGGTACAGGTCTATCCACATGAGTCCCAGATAGGATGAAACGCTCAGTTTGAACTTTACTAGTTACCACCACCAAGTAAATAAAGTCAACAAAAAGTAATAACTAATGGTAAAAGATAATATAGTAGTGAATTAGAGTGATTAAGTCGCAAGATATTGCGAAGTTCCCAACTCTAAGCACTCTACAGATCATTCAGTTTCATGTAGAAACAGTTAATCAGGGAAACTGCCTATTTTGTGAAGGAATGTTTTGCTTCAGAAGCAGTGTCATACACAGCAAAACGTTCAGCCAGATCACGTCTTGGATTTTAAGCACTCTGGGATTACATTAAAAGCTACTTTCACAGTGAACAATTCAAATTGAGCTCTAAAATGTTCCTAGAACATTCCTAACAAGTTGCTTTTTTGACTTCCAGTTAGTATTCAATACAGACTGACATAAGCTAGTGAACAAGTGAAAATCTAGGAGGACCGAACAGCTGCTTCGTCGTAACAGGGTACTACCGGGGAGTTCGCACCATGATGCCATCAGAGATTGAACCCAGCAGCTTCAGGTTTCGTGGATGTCATATACCCATGGAGCTACTGGGTCGACAACTAATACTTCACAGTTTCCTACTTCCGTCAGTTCATGATAAAGAGAAATCTTTATCAATGACATCATTGAGTAACTGTCCTCTCATCCGACTTAGTTTACTCCACCAATTAGTTCACTGTTTGATGATGTCATAGCGTAGTGAAAACTGAACTTCTAGGTTCTGTGTTGCACCTTTAATATTAAGGTGTTTTTTGCTGAGTGAAGGCATCGAGTTTTTTCAATACAAGGCAATTCGTGGTTTGATGTAAACATTGAAACACTTGAAACCGGAAGTGTTCACTTTTGATGTGGAGAGAAAATCCCAAATAACGGTTTAAAGCAAATGCAAAAGGTTTTAATGTGATTTCTTGCCTACTGATACGTGAATCGTCTTTACAACCAAACACGAAAGACTTTCTAAGAAAGTGTAATCTCTTGATATCAGGATCTTCAAAGTAGCTGACTATTTTGTCACCGTTTAAAAATCTTATTGGTACATTGTAGTCCTATTGAACTACTCATACTTAGTTGAAGTTCTTAGCTAGTTCCATTGTCTGTTGTATCGTGAAAAAACGTTTGCTGGTATATGAAGGGTGAATCTTTTCACCGGGGACACCTGGACTTTTCACCCTATCCAGAAACACTTATTTAATAGTTTCTACACGTAACTTAGCAAAAATAAGACTTTCAGTTGAATTCATTTAGATTTTTCAGATTCCAAAAACTTAAGCTCACCTAGTTTACTAGTTCATTAGTTTACTAGCCTGTCGTAAATCTAGAAAAAGAGGTAAGGCTGGGCGTGGAGCTAGCAACCCTACCCCTCAAAACCAATCCAATCGCCAACGAAACTTCAAAGCACAAAGAAAATATAAGAAATAAAAATAAATTTATTCCTCGCTGGAATCGGGTAGACGAAATGACGCCGGTTGGTAAAAGCCTGACTTCGGGAAGCCAGTTGGCTGGTTTGTCTCCTCTCTCTCGATGAAAACAAAATTAAACATGGGGACATGGAATGTCAGCACACTGTTTGAAGCTGGCAAGGCTGCCCATATTTTAAAAGTAGTGAGAAGATATAATATAGAAGTGCTACGAATCCGCGAGAGCAGATGGAATTGAAATGGACTCTCGAAACTCTCAATGAAAAGTCAGATATCTACTCCGATATTGTCACCCAGACGACAACCACGAGCACATTGAGTTTTGGAGTGGCTATAATGATGTCCCCAAGACCATAAAAGGCTGTCATGCAGTGGGAACCAATCACAGTAATGTTCAAATGAAAAGGAAGGAAAGTTAAAATCATACAATTCTACACTGAGAATACCGTTTGGAGACATCACGCTCCAGGCTAGGCCCTCGAGTAGAACCCGAAGCAGCAACGTCAAGTTGGGCGCCCAAGGAAGACATGGAGGAAATCGTGTTGGGAAGAAATAGAAACTTGTGGAGATTAGTGGAGCTAGGTTAAAAAGACTGCAGAGAAGAGAGTGAAATGGTGAAGTGCTACTGAAGCCCTATGTTCCACTAGGAACCCAAGGGACAAATAAAAAAAATGAAAAAGTGTAAGCGTCTTGAATGTATGACTTATACACATTTTCCAGTGTCACAAATGTGTAGAATGAGTATGCCTCTGAGTCAGTTTAAGAATAATTTAAAGCAGATGAATAGAAATGCACTCAGCAACCATATGCACACTTATTCTGTAGCCAATAAGCTATACCTATTATTTGAGCTCTGGTTGACCAAACTCCAATAGGTAGAACGATGTTCGAATGCATAACCAGTTGATTGAAAATCAACTGCTTAGATCAACGAACCATAACTGATCATTAAACAATCAAGAAAGTTACACTTTAATATATTTTTCTCACATATAGTGTGATGTAACAAAGTTTTATTCTCAAAACGAGATTACAGTAAAAAAAAGTGAAATAAACTATAAAAATGTTATATGATGTAAGAAAGAACTTAAAATATTGTGCTATTGTATTTCAATAATAAGAATAATGTGAATATAAATGACTTCTAGTTTCCATTGGTTACTGATTTATCATCCATTTCCTTGTAACAACAAGTCTCTAAAAACGACTAAACACTAAAAATGTTAAAAATTCGATATGGTAAATTTTCTTGATCATAAAAATGTCGCCATATTAAATCATCTTCCCTTTCAATGATATTCAGTTATTGATATCTCGTGTTTTCTTTTTCCTACGCATGAAATAAGTGAAAATATTGAGTAAATAGGATCATGCAACAAACAGTGGGGAGTGAGAAGAGAGAGATACGCTGGCTGGACTGCGGAAAAGAACCTAGAAGATTTGGATTTCGCCGATGACTTGTGTCTAATGTCACACAAACTTGAAGATCTACAGGTGAAAACAACAGGTTAACAGAAGAGGCAGGGCAGGGCAGGGCAGCGAAGATGGGACTTCAAGTGAATATAGAGAAGACAGAAGTGGTGAAGATATCCAACCAACAACAACAAAAAGCTCCAATCACCATCAATGGGAGAAACTTGAAGGAAGTAGCCTACTTCACCTATCTAGGCAGCGTTGTTTCAACTACAGGTGGCGGCACAGACGAGGATGTCAAAGCCAGGATCAGAAAGACACGAAGGCAGGCATTGGTTAGCCTCAAACCAGTGTGGAGATATACTGCACTCAGCATGTGAAACAATATCCGGATTTTCAACACCAGCGTGAAGTCAGTCAGTGTTTCTATATGGTTCAGAAACTGGCGCGTTACGAAAGGCATTTTTAACAAGCTACAGACATTCATCAACAACTGCCAACGCTGGCTCGTCACTGAAGCTCAGATGGCCAGAAGTAATAAGCAACAAGGAACTCTGACTGGCTGTCATTGAACCAGCCAAGAATCCGTTACGCAGCAAATATGCAGGACGAACTGAAGATAGATTGGTTATATATAGACTGAAAAGGCCAACTGGGGACATCTCGCGCCAGGCAGCCAGGCACCCAAGTGGAACCCAAATGGGAGGCGACCAGTCGGGCTTTGGAGGGTGACGTGGAGGATATGGTATGAGGAAGAAATGAGAGCTTGTGGGTAGTCGTGGAACGATGTTCAAAAGAGCAGAGAATAGAGTGCACTGGAGACGTGCTACTAAAGCTCTATGCTCCACTAGGAACTTAAGGGACAAATAATAATAATAATAATCGAGTAAATACCAAAAGTATTTTATTCGGGTATCAGTAAGTTAGTTGAAAAACAAGAGTTTTAAATTCGGTGATTTCCGGATAAACATACAGACTTAAAGTAAATATCCCTTGTTGATTTTCAAAAATATCTTCTAGTCAGGAGAAAAAAACTGTTATGTAAGCAAGACATAAAGTAAAA